CGAGGCAAACAAGGCATTTGCCTTGGGCGGCATTTTTCAGGGGGCAGCAAAAAAAGCCGCCCCTCAAATGCCCAAGGCAAATGTCATGTTAGCCTCGCGGCTAACAGACATGCTGGGCGCCGGGCGGCATTGGCGAGCGGGCGGGCGGCTGGCGAGGGAGCTTTTCCTGTGAGCTGACTGCTCAGCTCCGCCGCAGAGTGAGGCTGGGAGCCATAAGATGACGTCATATTCCGGCTCCCAGCCTCACTCTGCGGCACGCGAGGGAGCTGAGCAGTCAGCTCACAGGAAAAGCTCCCTCGCCAACCACCCGCTCGCCAATGCCGCCCACCCAGCAGCCACTGGACCACCAGGGAGATAGAGAACCCCTTCCCTCCCCAGCACTCCTAAAGGTAAGGAGACTGGGGGGGGGGGGAGGTTTAAAAAGTACATGTGTTAATGTGAGTGTGTGTGTCTGTTAGTGAGTGTGTGTGTCTGTTAGTGTGTGTGTGTGTGTGTCTGTTAGTGAGTGTGTGTTAGTGTGTGTGTGTCTGTGTGTGTGTGTGTGTGTCTGTTAGTGTGTGTGTGTGTGTCTGTTAGTGTGTGTGTGTGTCTGTTAGTGTGTGTGTGTCTGTTAGTGTGTGTGTGTCTAGTGTGTGTGTGTGTCTGTTAGTGTGTGTGTGTGTGTGTGTGTCTGTTAGTGTGTGTGTCTGTTTGTCTGTTAGGGAGTGTGTGTCTGTTAGTGAGTGTGTGTCTGTGTGTGTCTGTTAGTGTGTGTGTGTGTGTGTTAGTGTGTGTCTGTTAGTGTGTGTGTGTCTGTTAGTGTGTGAGTGTGTGTGTCTGTGAGTGAGTGTGTCTCTGCTAGTGAGTCTCTGCTAGTGAGTGTGTTTGTGTGTGTGTGTGTATTTAGAAGGCAGGGGGAAGGGATGGGAGGGGTCACGCGCGCGGGGGGAAGGGATGGGGGAGGGTCGCGCGTGCAGGGGAGGTTGGGGGGCGCCTGAGGTTGGGGGGCAGCACAAAACCAGGATACACCACTGGCCAGGGCTGTGTTTGAATCATGCTGGCTCTACCCCTGATCTGCCTCTTAGTCAGTCTCAGCCAATCCTATGGGGAAGCACTGTGATTGGATTAGGCCATCACTTCTAATGATGTCAGCAGACTGCTTGTTTTTCTGAATCTAACAGCATGCAGAGTTACAGCTTCAGGCTTGAATACAGTAAGATTTTGCTATATTTATGGAGGCATGAGGTGCCCAGGGGGGCTAGATGGTGGTGTCAACACTATAGGGTCATGAATTCATGTTTGTGTTCCTGACCCTATAGTGATCCTTTAAGGTAATGCTGACTTTGGTCTCTCTAACACTGTGGCATGTTCCCTTTCTTCTACACTCACTACATACAGCTTTTCTCTGTCCCAGACTATATACCAGGAGCTTCTGCCTGCTAGTAAGAAGGTAAGGAGACAAGTGGACCAGCGAGTGCTAGGGGACAGTCCTTAGAAAGCGTTGAGCGAGCGCATCATTAGATGCATTTATGCCAAGCTCAGGGTGCTGTCTGCATAGTATGCCCTTAGTTGGCCAGCTGCATGATGAATGACATGCATTCATACCAGGCTGGCCTTCTAATTCTTTGGGCAGACATATCCTCTTTTTGGGCATGTTCGCCCCTTTTGGCAGGTTACGTGATTTGTGTCAGTGGCACACCCTTTTACCATGCCCATTGACTTCCTGCTTGACTGGACACTGCTGTTAGGGGTTATGGATTTACTTAAAAGATGAAAACATAAATTAGAGAGAGATTAGCCTAGGGTATGTGTTTTATTATAGCTGCTGTTTTCTTTCTCTCCAGCACCATCTCCATCAGATACATGACGCTTGGGAGTGTTTTACTGTTTTTGGTCGATATGATTCTGTAATTAGGCCCGTCATAATTGTCAGCACCAGGCCCACTGGGCTCTTAATCTGGCCCTGACCACACAAAACATTGACACTTTGGGCCCAATTTGGACATTTCCACTTAGGGGTGTACTCACTTTTGTTGCCAATGGTTTAGACATTAATACATAGATAGAAACATAGAAACATAGAAATATAGAATGTGACGGCAGATAAGAACCATTCGGCCCATCTAGTCTGCCCAATTTTCTAAATACTTTCATTAGTCCCTAGCCTTATCTTATAGTTAGGATAGCCTTTATGCCTATCCCACGCATGCTTAAACTCCTTTACTGTGTTAACCTCTACCACTTCAGCTGGAAGGCTTTTCCATGCATCCACTACCCTCTCAGTAAAGTAATACTTCCTGATATTATTTTTAAACCTTTGTCCCTCTAATTTAAGACTATGTCCTCTTGTTGTGGTAGTTCTCCTTCTTTTAAATATAGTCTCCTCCTTTACAGTGTTGATTCCCTTTATGTATTTAAATGTTTCTATCATATCCCCCCTGTCTCGTCTTTCCTCCAAGCTATACATGTTAAGTTCTTTTAACCTTTCCTGGTAAGTTTTATCCCGCAATCCATGAACCAGTTTAGTAGCCCTTCTCTGAACCCTCTCTAAGGTATCAATATTCTTCTGAAGATACGGTCTCCAGTACTGTGTACAATACTCCAAGTGAGATCTCACCAATGTTCTGTACAATGGCATGAGCACTTCCCTCTTTCTACTGCTGATACCTCTCCCTATACAACCAAGCATTCTGCTAGCATTTCCTGCTGCTCTATTACATTGTCTGCCTACCTTTAAGTCATCAGAAATAATCACCCCTAAATCCCTTTCCTCATATGTTGAGGTTAGGACTCTATCAAATATTCTGTACTCTGCCCTTGGGTTTTTACGTCCAAGATGCATTATCTTGCACTTATCCACATTAAATGTCAGTTGCCACAATTCCGACCATTTTTCTAGTTTACCTAAATCATACCTAAGATGCACACTGACAGACACTTTTACACACATACAGTGACACAGACACAAATACACACACACACACGCTGATCAATATATACAGTTTTATAGCAACCCTCCTTTTTCCTACCTTTTGGGCTTCCCTGGGATCCCACGCTGCCTAGCTATGCCAGTAAGGATGGGGTCACATGTAACTAGTGGTAGTTTTTGCTGGGCACCAACCACGCTGTGTGCTACGTGGGGCACAGGGATATGAGTATGACGTGTTCATATCCATGCCCCCTCCACACTCCGCAGCATGATGGAGGAAGGCTGGTCTGCAGGGAGTTGCTGGTGCTTGTCCATGCAACAAGAAGTGGCCGGCAGGAGAGGAGTGCTGTGCACTTCCCTCTTGACCGTCATCTGGACATTTGTGCCGCCTTATTGTTGTGTCAGACCTGCCTTCACACAGTACATCCTCACATACACTGAACCCCCACCCCCCACATACAATACACTCCCAGCCAGGGCCGGACTGGGAGAAAAATTCGGCCCGGGCATTTTTTTAACACAGCGGCCCACTAAAAAGGGGGCGGGGCAGAGGAGGTGTGTTTTGTCATCACCAATGACAAACACGCCCCCTCTCAAAGTGAGCATGTTGGTTCAATGCTCTTCCAGGGCAGACCATGCGCAGAGCTCTGCTGAAGAGCTCTAGCATGAGAAAAAGTCCTGTATTTGTTCTGCACAGTGCAAGCAAATTTAATAACATGCTTGCACTGTGTTTCCTTGCAACTTGTCTCTGGTGTCTCTATAAATGGATACCAGGAGACAAAAGGCCAGGAAAGAGTATTGTGCATGTGTTTGGAGCCTGCTTGTGGTATTGCGTGTGTGTAGAGTAAGCTGATTGTGGTGTGGTATTGTGTAATAAGGTCGGTTTTAGTCGTGTTGTGTTTGTGGTGTAATGTGATGCATATGTGGCTCAGGAACCCCCTCCCGCACGGCTCTGGAAAGGGGTTAAAACTTACCTTTTTCCAGCGCCGGGCGGGGAGCTCTCCTCCTCCGATCCGCCCCGTCGGCTGAATGCGCACGCGCGGCAAGAGCTGCGCGCGCATTCAGCCGGTCGCATAGGAAAGCATTTATAATGCTTTCCTATGGACGCTTGCGTGCTCTCACTGTGATTTTCACAGTGAAAAGCACGCAAGCACCTCTAGCGGCTGTCAATGAGACAGCTGCTAGAGGCTTTGGGGGAAGGCTTAACCCATTGATAAACATAGCAGTTTCTCTGAAACTGCTATGTTTATAAAACAATGGGTTAACCCTAGAAGGACCTGGCACCAAGACTACTTCATTAAGCTGAAGTGGTCTGGGTGGCTAGAGTGGTCCTTTAAGAGTGTAGTGTGTGTGTGTGTGTGTGTGTGTGTATGTATATATATATATATATAATATATAATATATATATATATTTGGAAGTATTGTGTATGTGTGTGGTGCAGTGTGTTGGGGGGGTTCTGTGTGTATGTGAGGGGTGCAGTATGTGTGTGTGTGAGGGTGCGGTGTGTGTGTAATGTGTGTGAGGGTGCGGTGTGTGTGTAATGTGTGTGAGAGTGCCGTGTGTGAGTGATGGGTGTGAGAGTGCCGTGTGTGAGTGATGGGTGTGAGAGTGCCGTGTGTGAGTGATGGGTGTGAGAGTGCTGTGTGAGATGGGTGTGAGAGTGCTCTGTGAGAGTGCTGTGAGAGAGTGCTGTGTGTGTGTGAAAGTGCTGTGTGTGATGGGTGTGAGAGTGCTGTGTGTGTGTGAGTGCTCTGTGAGAGTGCGCTGTGTGTGATGGTGTTAGAGTGCTGGGTGTGAGAGTGCTGTGTGTGATGGGTAAGAGAGTGCTGGGTGTGAGTGATGGGTGTGAGAGTGCTGTGTGAGAGTGAAATGTGTGATGGGTGTGAGAGTGCTGTATAAATGTTATTGTGTGTGTGTGTGTGTGTAGGGGGGGGGTAAATAAAAAAAATAAAAAAGTCATTATTTCCCCCCCTCCCTTCTTACCTTTAGCCTGGGAGGGGGGGTCCGGCACGCTGGCAGGCAGGGTGGCGGTGTTCCCTGGTGGTCCTCGTGGGTGAGTGAACTCTAGCCTGTGAGGCTAGAGTTCACTCTCGCGAGATCCGGTCGTTGCCATGGCAACGCGCCGGATCTCGCGAGAGGAACCCGGCGGAGCTGCAAGTTAGAGCTCCGCCGGGTCCTCTCTCCAGCCTAGCTGGCTGTCTCCCTCCCTCCCCGCCGGCGGCCGCATGTGGGCCGGTCAGGGAGATCCTTGATCTCCCCACCGGCCCGTCGTGACAAACAGCGGGGCCGGCGCTAGGAGAGTGCCGGCCCTGCATAGACCGGCAGGGGAGATCCTGGGACCTCCCCTGCCGGCCTCGGCCCATGGCCACCGCGGCCCACCGGGCATTTGCCCGGTGTGCCCGATGGCCAGTCCGGGCCTGCTCCCAGCTACACAGAGTACCATACACACACACAGTGCACCCCTCACACATATTTCATCCAACACAAACTCTTCAAA